TTTGTTTAAAAACACATGAGTATGCCCTGGCTGGTTTGGCTCAGCGGTTAGAGTGTCGGCCTGTGGTCTGGAGAGACCCGGGTTCGGTTCCCGCTAAGGGCATGTACCTCGGTTGCAGTTTGTCCCCAGCCCTGGTTGGGTTGTGCGGGTGGCAGCCACTCGATGTGTCCCTTTCACATTGATGTTTCTCTTTCTCTCTCTCTCCCTCCCACTCTATCTGAGCAAAAAAATGGAAAAATGTCCTCGGGTGAGGACAAAAAAAACAAAACAAAAAAACCCATGTGAGTAGTGCGTTGCACTGTGACATTATGAAGGCTATGATGTCACTAGGCAATAAAAATTTTCCAGCTCCATTGTAAACTTATGGGACCACCGTTGTCTATGTGGTTCATCATGAGAAAGCAGGTAATGAGATGGGGCTTTGAAATGGGATCATTCACTTTGTCATGGACTTAAGCATCGACGTGGCCAACCTCTTGAGAAGGTTCAAGTCCCCACCAAGGTAGGGTGCTCTGCCCGGATCAGGGCGGGAGGAAGAGTGGCACTCTGACACATGGGCTGGGATCATCTGGGTTGCTGGCCCCTCAAACATTGAATTCCCAGGTCCTTCCTGAACCCTTTGCGTCTGAAGAAGTCAACGGTCTTCCCTAAGCACACCGATGGCCACGGGGACAGACAACGGGAAACTGAACGTGCGAGCTGCATCGGCAGGTGACCGAGACCCTCAAGCAACCCGCCGCTGCGGCACTACCAGCCCCTCTCAGCTCACACCTGTGGGCTTATGGGGACCCCTTGGGACCACCTGATGTAGAGGGAAATGTCTGAGGCTGATTTATGGATTGCCAAACCTAGTCTGTGTATGCCATCCCCAAATAGACAGCAGCTGAACTACGGTCTCACTCAAGGGTAGCCCGGCAAGACAGTGGCGAGGGCAGGTCCTCTCAAGGGGCAGTTTCGGACATGCACCCACTTTATGTAGAAAGAGAAGTGGCCTGGGATAGGTTGTATACGGACTTCTCAGCAGTGGTGAGTGGCTGACTGGTCAGCTTCCCGGAAGCACTGATGAATATACAATGAATACCCATAAGCTTCACGTACTTTATATTTTCATAAACTTTGTAAATTTGTCCAACTAAGCCTTTTTTGGGGGGAAGGGGGCCCACACATATTTGCACCATCATCCGTTGTATCACATCTTAGCAGATCCCACTTCAGGGTGTACTGGATGCGTGTTTGCTCAGCTTCTTCAAGGATCTGCATCCGTTCCGTGCAGGCTCCTCACGGAGCCTCCATCCTTCAGTCACTTCCAACTTGGCAGCCGCCCCTCCGGTGAGCACCAGCTGACTGTGTTGGTGGTATCTGCCAACTCATTAGGAGCCAAGGGAAGCCACTTGAAATCACCGGGCTTGTTTTTAATGGGCTATATTGATTTGATTCCCAGCGTGTTCAACTCTTGGCACAGCTATTCTCACTGAAAGGCTAATAGTGTGAAGTTTGTTTTCTCCGGTCACATTTATTTTTTTTCAGCTGCTACCATTAAACATGATTTCATTAACCCGTCGCCAGTAAACATCTTTTCTCGCTGGCTAACGAATGAGCAATGTGGAAACCGCCGACAGACTCATTTTCATTTTTTATTTTTGTGAAGACATTCTGCTGTGATGAGATTTAAAGCTTAAGATTTCTACACTTTATACTCATTGCTCTCTTGTGAGCGGGGAATCCTGTGGACGCCTAGTCTGGCTTGCAGATGTATAACATTGTATCTTTTTAGCACAGCTCAAGTGTCATTGAGTAAGGAACACAATGCTTGGCCATTGTCTTAAAAGTGAAACATTTAAAGTCCACTTCCTTCCTCTTTTCTTTATTTATTTGTTTATTTTTATCCTCACCTGAGGACATTTTTGCATTTATCTTCAGATAGAGCGGGAGGGAGAGAAGGGGGAAGAGAGAGAGAGAGACGCATTGAGTGGCTGCCACCCACAGGACCCCAACCGGGAACAGGGACAAACTGCAACTGAGGTACGTGCCCTTAGCAGGAACCGAACCTGGAACTCTCTGGTCCGTGGGCCGATGCTGTAACCACTGAGCCAAACCGGCCAGGGCCGTTCCTCTCTTCTTATTTTGACATGATGGACAGGCACTGGCAATAAAGAATGTCACAATGTGTGCGGCCCTCCAAACACCAGGTGACTTGTGTGCTGACTGCCACGGGAGAGGATGGCAGACGGGGGGTGTTCCGTGGCAGACTCCGTCTTGTCTTGTATTGGGTTCCCTAAAACAGACTCTGAGATGGAAAGTTGCCCGTGCTCTTGTAAGGAAGTGAGGAAGACAATGTTGGGCAGAGAGAAGCTGACCTGGACAATATTTACAGCCTCGGCCAGTCCGCAGACAGCTGCGCAGTGGGCGGCCCTTGCAGATCGGTCCCCATCAGGCAGTGGGGCGTGGCCTTTGTCTTCAACCGCACGCTGGGGCTGCTGTAACCCAGGACCACGGTGCTTGGCTCAGAACAGCAGGCATGTGCTGTCTCACAGGTCTGGAGGCTAGAAGTCCGAAAGCAGGGTGTCGGCAGGGCCGTGTTCCCTCTGAAACTGGAGGGGGGACCTTTCCTTGCTCCCTTCTAGCTGCTGATGTTTTGGGGCTATCTTTGGAGTTTCTTGGCTTACATATGAATCACTTTAATCTTCCTTTTTTTGGTTAATCCTTACCAGAGGATATTTCTTCCAAAGATTTTTAGAAAGGGTAGAAGATGGGGAGAGAGGGAGGGGAAGGGAGAGAGAGAAACATGGAGCCCTGGCTGGTGTGGTTTAGTGGTTAGAGTGTCGGCAGCCATAGGAGGTTCAGCCAGGGCAAGGGAGCTTACTCTGTTCCCCCAATTCCACTCACCTCATCACAGATGATCATTGTTTGTTTGTTTGTTTGTTTTTTTATCCTCACCCGAGAATTTTTTTTTCTTCTATTTATCTTCAGATAGAGTAGGAGGGAGAAAGAGAGAGAAAAACATCAACGTGACAGGGACACATCAACTGGTTGCCTCCCACACGACCCTGACCAGGGCCAGGGACGAACCATAACCCTGGTACATGCCCTTGGCCAGAATCAAACCCATGACTCATTGGTCCCGGGCTGATGCTCTAACCGCTGAGCCAAACTAGCCAGGGTGATCATTGTTAATCTTTGTGTATATTTTCCTAATCCCCACTCTCTTTTAAAATAATGCCTTTACCACACGTGTATAAATGTGTACTTAGGTTGAGCTTATCGTGATCTGACGAATTTGCTAATCTCGCTAAATCTTGTGTGCCTTCTACAGCAGTGCCTAGGAGCACACCACTGTTATTGGTGTATCCTTGTTTCAATGACCTGAGACCCACTGGCTGAATGTCAGCCAGGCTTTAGTGAGCATCATTATCTACCTTCGTGTCAACGGCTCGGTATTTGGGGTGATCCTTGTAGCCAGAACCCTGGCCACTCTGGTAGGAAGGCAAGGGCAGAGGGGCTCTGTTGTTGGGAAAGGTCCTGGTGCCTGAGTCACAGGTGCCCTTGTGACATCAGGGCTCTCTTTCCTCCTCTCTTGCCTCCAGAGCCGTGGCCGGAGCAGTACAGACCTGGGAGAGATGGGAACATCTAGCCCCTAACCATGGGTAATTTAGTGCAAATCTGAGAGGGCTTGACCATCCACATTAAGTCAAGGGTACTTAACGTTTTTAAGATACAGTCTGATCCAGCCAAGCTTTCTGGGAAGGTGGTGGACTTCTCGTAGTTACCTCAGGGTAGGATCCCCCCCATATCTGAGGTCCCAGAAAGGCCAGGACGCTGAGTGTGAGGTTGACTTGGCACCTAGTGGTGGGGAAGGGCGCTTGTACTTTCTCCCATGTTTTCCTCTCTGGACTCTGATTACAGAAGGATAGCAAACCTTCCAAATTATAATCAAAGATGGTGATGAAATCACAATAGAACAGAGCTTGAAGGAGCAAATGCTAGAGGAAGGGACTCTACCTACACCCTTCCCACCCTCCATGGGTAGATGGGTCCAGACTCCTCTGCGTTGGAGAGAGCCTTGACTTGTGACATCTCTGACTCTTATGGTCCAGTGGAATGACCCAGAAGTCTGTGCCCATGTAACTTATTGTCTGGAGACGCGTCAGTGAGTGAGGGGTACTTCTCAGCATTGCAGCAGGCAAGGGACGTGAACCCAGGGTGTGCCAGGCCAATGAGGGTGGATGTAAAGAGCTGGGGCGAACAGGGACTGACCCCTCCTTTGTTGTCCTTTTCCTTCATTTCCTCCTTGGGCTGAGAGACGTGGTCTGGCCAAGTGTGTGGGCTGTGCCAAGGAGGTGTCCAATGAGTGTGAACCCAGACCACCCAGGGTTGGGGGCTACAAGGCGGGGACTGCGTTTGGGGAATGCAAAGGCCGAGGTGCAGGAAGACTGGGTCTAGAAGTGGGTGTGCACGCACGTGTGTGCCCGCGGAACTTCGTACTGATGTCTTAACTGGCGTGTACGTTCTCAGGTGTGTGAGGTGGGGAAACCTCTTAACGCCGTGGTGAGCAGAGGGGAGGCCGCTGACCGAAGGGCGGGAGCAAAGGCTGCGTTTTCCCAGCGGGTGGGAGGGTTCTGAAGGGGAGACGTGGACAGGCCGCCCCGTGGAGCTTGCGTGCTTCGCCCTCCATCAGGAGTGTCCTGCTGTAGGCGGCCGGGCAGGGGGACCGAAATGGGGAGGTTGCAAGGGCAGAGTAGCTCCACTTTACAAATGGAGACCCCGAGGCTCAGGGCAAGGTGGTGTGTCCATGCCCGTGAACCAGAGGGCAGAAGCAGGGCACTTACTAGGTTTCCTGGGTCCAGCTGTTGCCAGCAGCTTCCTGCACAGTCAGGAAAGGGGTGGTTGTTGACAGAAGATGAGGCCCCCTTGCCGGCATACTTGAGGGCAGAAATGGGTTTCCTAAGTGTCCCGGTTTTTTCTTACAAGCTTCCACAAAATCTCCCAAAAGAGTTAAGATCATGATGACGCGACAGGAGGCGGTGGTGTCCATCCAGGCCTGGTGGCGGAGCACCCTGGTGCGCCGGACCCTGCTGCACGCGGCGCTCAGGGCCTCCATCATCCAGCGCTGGTGGAGGCAGGTGCTGGCGCTGCAGCGGGAGAAGAGGCGCCTGGCGACCCTTGATCTGTACGTGCGGAAAGAATGGGCAGTGGTCCGGCTGCAGTCCTGGGTCCGCATGTGGTGCGTCCGCCTCCGTTACTGCCGCCTGCTGCACGCCGCCCGCATCATCCAGGGGTACTGGCGCTGGCACAACTGCCACACCCGGGGCTTCCTTCAGGGCCATTACGACATCAAAGAAAACGAACTGAACCTTCAACTCGAAATCTCTCTGGGCCCACAGATTTGCAAAGTGCAACAGTCTACATCCCTTCCAATAAAAGAACAATCAGGTCTGTGATGTCTGTGTCCCCGGCTGGTCAGATCAATTTCAAGCAGGTCGTTGTAACGCCAGCAAAGACTGGGCATCTCCTACATCAGCTCGGAGGAAGAGGCAGGGTCGCCTGGGGGTGGGGTTTTGTGTGGAGGAAGATTCTGAGCCTGGTGCTGGATGAGCAGGGCCCGCTTCTGATCAGCAATGTCTGCCCTGGGGAGGGGAGTTGGGGCCCAGGGCCACCAAGTCAGCCAACCAGGGACACTGCTTCCCAGTGTGGTGTGTATAAACGGCACACTCGATAGTTTGGCAACCTGCGTCATCTTTTGCTGTCACGATGCATATACTATTTTAAAATTGTGGTAAAATATACATAACATAAAATTGACCGTTTCAATCATTGTAAGTGAACAGCTCAGTGACATTCATTATATTCTCTTTGTAGAACTATCATCACCATCCATCTTCGAAATTTTATTCATCTTGCAAAATCGAAATGCTATTCATTCAACAATTCTCCATCTCCCCTCCCCCCACCCCTAGCAACTATCCTACTTTTGCTCTCTATGAAACTGATTACTCTAAATACAGAGGAATGGAATCATACAGGATTTGTCCTTTTGTGACTGACTTATTTCCCTTGGCATAATGTTTTCAAGGCTCATCCATGTTGTAGCCCGTGTCAGGATTTCCCTTCTCAGGCTGAATAATATTTGATTGTACACGAACCACTTTTGCTCATCCATTCATTTGTGGTTGGACACGAGTTGCCTCAACCTTTTGGCTCCTGTGAATAACGCTTCTGTGAACACGAATGTACAAAGATCTCTTTGAGACTCTGCCTCAGGTTCTTTTGGGTATGTACCGAGAAGTGGAATGGCTGGGTCATATGATAATTACATTTGTCATTATTGGAGGAACCAAACCAAAACCAGGTACATGCCCTTGACCGGAATTAAACCTGTGATTTTTTGGTCTGAGGACTGACGCTCTAACTGCTGAGCCAAACTGGCCAGGGCTCATTGTACTTTTATCTGTCTATCTATCTATCTATCTATCTATCTATTTATTCATTTATTTATTTTTTATCTTCACCTAAGGACATTTTCCCATTTTTTGTTCAGATAGAAGGGAGAGAGAGAGAAACATCGATGTGAAAGGGACACATCAAGTGGCTGCCACCCACACAACCCAACCAGGGCTGGGGACAAACCACAACGGAGTTACGTGCCCTTAGCGGGAACCAAACCTGGGTCTCTCTGGACCGCAGGCTGACGCTCTAACCGCTGAGCCAAACCGGCCAGGGCCATTTATTTATTTATTCACTTATTTATTTATTTATCTTTATTGATTTAGAGAGAGGAAGGAAGGAAGAGGGAGAAAGACAGAAACATCAATGAGAGAGAACAGCATTTGGCCAACTCCTGCATGCCCCCTACTGGGAATTTGGCCCACAACCTGGGCATGTGCCCTGACTGGGAATCAAACCTGCAACCTTTCAATGTATGGGATGGCACTCCAACCAACTGAGCCACCAGGCCAGGGCATAGTGTGTGTGTGTGTGTGTGTTTAAATCCTCGCCTGAGGATATTTTTCTATTTATCTTCTGATAGAGTGGGAGGGAGGGAGGGAGGGAGGGAGGGAGGGAGGCAGAGAAACATCGATGTGAGAGAGAGACATTGATTGGCTGCCTCCCACCTGACCCTGACCAGGGCCAGGACCTAACTGCAACCAAGGTATGTGCCCTTGACTGGGAATTGAACCTGTGACCCTTTGGTCCACGGGCCAACACTCCAACCACTGAGCCAAACTAGCCAGGGGTATGTTGAGCAACTTTTCACGTGCTTATGTGTATATCTTCTCAGGACAAATGTCTATTCAAATCCTTTGCCCATTTATTAATTGAGTTTTCTTATTTTTAATGACATTTATTGGAGTGACATTGATTAATAGGTTCATATAGGTTTCAAGTGTACATTTCTATGATCTGTATGTTGCATTGTGTGCCCACTACCCAGAGTCAGATCATCTTCCGTCACCATATATTTGGCCCCTCCCCCCTTTCCTCTGGCAACTACCATACTGCTGTCTGTGTCTATGAGTTTCAGTTTTATGCCCCACATGTGAGTGGAACCATATGGCTCTTAGCTTCTTCTGACTGACTTATTTCACTTAGCATGATATTCTCAAGGTCCATCCATGTTGTTGCAAATGGCCGTATTTGAGATTTTGAAAAACTATTGACTTATAAGTGTTCTTTATGTATTTTGCATACTATCCCATTATCAGGTATAGGATTTGAAATTATTTCCCCCCATTCTGTGGGTTGTCTTTTCACTTCCTTGAAGTGTTTTTTTAATTCTCACCCGAGGATATTTTTACATTTATCTTCAGACAGAGTGGGAGGGAGAGAGAGAGACATCGATATGAGAGAGACACATCAATTGGCTGCCACCGGCACAACCCCAACCGAGCTGGGGACGAACCGCAACCGAGGTACGTGCCCTTGGCTGGAATCAAACCCGGGACTCCCTGGTTTGCAGGCTGACGCTCTAACTGCTGAGCCAAACTGACCAGGGCCCTTGAAGTGTTTTTTAAAGAAGTTTTTAATATTGATGAATCCTGATTTACCTGTTTTCCCCTTTGCTTGCTTGTGGTTTAAGTCACATAGCTAAGAAACTGTTACCCAATCTAGGGGTATGAATATTTACACTTTAAAGTTTCACAGTCCTGCGCGGCTGGTATGGCTCCGTGGTTGAGCGTCGACCCTGCACCAAGAGGTTGCTGGTTCGATTCCCGGTCAGGGCACCTGCCCAGGTTGTGGGCCCGATCCCCAGGGGGAGGCGTGCAGGAGGGAGCCAGTCAGTGTTCTCTCTCATCATGTTTCTATCTCTCCCTCTCCCTCTCCCTTTTTCTCTCTCTAAAAGCAATAAAGAAAAATTTTTTTTTTTTTTAGTTTCACAGTCCTAACTCTCTTACAGTTAGGTCTTTGGTCCATTTTAAATTTTTTTTTTTTTTTTTTTTTTTTTTTTTTTAATCCTCACCCGAGGACATTTTTCCATTTTTTGTTCAGGTAGAGTGGGAGGGAGAGAGAGGAACAGAGAGAGAGAAACATCGATGTGAAGGGACACATCGAGTGGTTGCCACCCGCACAACCGACCAGGGCCGGGGACAAACTGCAACCGAGGTACGTGCCCTTAGCGGGAACCGAACCCGGGTCTCTCAGGACCGCAGGCCGACGCTCTAACCGCTGAGCCAAACCGGCCAGGGCGGTCCATTTTAAATTTTTTATGTGTTATGAGATATTGGTTCAAATTAATTATTTGGCCCTGGCCAGTTTGGCTCAGCGGTTAGAGCATCAGCTTGCGGTCCAGAGAGACCTGGGTTCGGTTCCTGCTAAGGGCACGTACCTTGGTTGCAGTTTGTGCCCGGCCCTGGTTGGTCGTGCGGGAGGCAGCCACTTGAGGTGTCCCTTTCACGTCGATGTTTCTCTCTCTCTCTCTCTCTCTCCCTCTCCCTCCTACTCTATCTAAAAAAAAAAACAACTTACAAATTAATTATTTGCATGTGGATATCCAGTTTTTCCAAATCATTTGTTGACAAGACTATTTTTCCCCATTGAATGGGCTTGGCACTCTTGTCAAAAATCAATTGACCATGAATACATGGGTTTATTTCTGTACTCATAATTCTATTTTACTGATCTATGTGTGCTTTATGCCAATAACACACTCTTTAGATCACTGTAGCTTTGTAGTAAGTTTTGAAAGCGGAAAGCATGATTTATTTATATATATAATCTCACACTTTCTTTATCCCTTCATTCATTGACAGACACGTGGGTTGTGTCCATACTTTGGCTATTGTGAGTAATGCTGTAGTGAACATGCAAGGACAGATCTCTTCAAGACAGTGACTTTGGCCCTGGCCGGTTTGGCTCAGGGGTTAGAGCGTCGGCCTGTGGTCCGGAGAGACCCGGGTTTGGTACCTCGGTTGCAGTTTGTCCCCGGCCCTGGTTGGGTCGTGCGGGTGGCAGCCACTCAATGTGTCCCTTTCACGTCGATGTTTCTCTCTCTCTCTCTCCCTCTCTCTCCCTCCCACTCCATCTGAACAAAAAATGGAAAAATGTCCTTGGGTGAGGATAAAAAAAACAAAAACAGAAACAAAAAAATAGTGACTTTGTTTCCTTTGGATATGCACTCAGCGTGGAAAGGCTAGGTCTCCTCCATTGACCCAAGCTCTATATAGGGCTGTAGGTCCTCACAGTCGTTCTCCAAGTGTCAAATAATGTATCTGGAAATAATCTTAAACTTAATAGAAATATTGATAGGATGCCTATATAACCTTCCCCCTTCTAACCCTATTTGCATTTTTCTGCCTATCTGAGTAAATACCTTTATAGCAAAGAATTTCATCCAGGATTACATACCACACCTAACTATATGTCTGTTTAGAGTCTTGCAATCTTGAACAATGCCTAATCTTTAAAAAATCTTCATAATCTTGACACGTTTGAAGTGTATAGGCCAATTATTTTGTAGAATGTCTCGCAATTTGGGGTTGTCTTTATTTTCTTATGATTAGACCTTGATCATATATTTTTGAGTAGAAAATAACAGGTGCTGTGTTCTTCTATTATTATTTTTTACTGATTGACTTTAGAGAGGAAGGGAGAGAGAGAAATATATAGATTTGTTGTTCCACTTATTTATGCATTCATTGGTTGATTCTTTTTGTTTGTTTGTTTGTTTATCCTCACCCGAGGACACTTTTGCATTTTTTGTTCAGATAGAGTAGGGAGAAGAGAGAGGAAGAGAGAGAGAGAGAAAGAAACATCAACGTAAAAGGAACACATCGATTGGCTGCCTCCTGCATGACCCAACCAGGGCCGGGGACAAAGTGCAACCAAGGTACGTGCTCTTAGCAGGACCCAAACCCGGGTCTCTCTGGACTGCAGGCCGACACTTCAACCACCGAGCCAAACAGGCCAGGGCCATTGGTTGATTCTTGTATGTGCCCTGACCAGTGATCAAACCCACAATCTTGACCTATTGGGACGATGCTCTAACCAACTGACTACCTGTCCAGGGCCCAGGTGCTGTGTTCTTTTAATGACAAACCGTTAGGTGGTACATATGGTCTGTTCACACCATTTGTGATGGTGTTAACTTTAATCAGTTGATCAGTGTGTTATCTTTCACATTTCCATATTTTTGTCTCTTTGAAATTAATAAATATTTTTATACAGAGATGCTTTGAGACTATGCAAAATTCCCTCCCTCCACCAATTTCACCCACTAGATGAGCATTTCTTTTTCTTTTTAAAAAATTTTGTTCTTGCCCTGGCCGGTTTGGCTCAGCGGTTAGAGCGTCCGCCTGCGGTCCGGAGAGGCCCGGGTTTGGTTCCCGCTAAGGGCACGTACCTCGGTTGCAGTTTGTCCCTGGCCCTGGATGGTCGTGCGGGTGGCAGCCACTCGATGTGTCCCTTTCACATCGATGTTTCCCTCTTTCTCTCTTCCTCCCACTCTGTCTGTACAAAAATAAAAATAAAAAATAAAAAAATAAAAAATTTTGTTCTTGCCCTGGCCAGTTTGGCTCAGCGGTTAGAGTGTCGGCCTGCGGTCCGGAGAGACCTGGGTTCGGTTCTCGCTAAGGGCACGTACTTCGGTTGCAGTTTGTCCCCGGCCCTGGTTGGTCGTGCGGGTGGCAGCCACTCGATGTGTCCCTTCACGTCGATGTTTCTCTCTCTCTCTCCCTTCCTCTCTCTCCCTCCCATTCTATCTGTACAAAAAATGGAAAAATACCCTCGGGTGAGGATTAAAAAAAAAAAAAAAATTTGTTCTTGTCAGTATTTCGGATATCCCCCATTTTCCTTCTTTGTTCCCCTCCACCCAACTCCCACCCCACCCCAGGCTGTCTCCACACTATTGTCTGTGTCCCTGGGTTATGCATACATGCATATATGATCTTTGGTTAATCTCTTCCTGTCCCCCACCACACCCCCTCTGAGATCTGTCAGTCTGTTCCATGTATCCATACCTCTGGACATATTTTGTTCATCAGTTTATTTTGTTCATTAGATTCCACATATAAGTGAGATTATATGATATGTGTCTTTCTCTAACTGGCTTACTTAGCTTAGCATAGCAGTCTCCAAGTCCATTCATGCTGTCACAAAGGGTAAGAACTTCTTTTTACAGTCACATAGTATTCCGTTGTGTAAATGTATAGATGAGCATTTATTGATGTTTCTTGCCTTATTAGTTATTACTCTGGTGGATTTCTATTATTATAATTTTTCTACATGTACAAGGTGGGGCAAAAGTAGGTATATAGTTGTTTATGTGGAAAATAATACAATAATTAATAAATGGTAATACAAGAATAAATTCTGTGTTTCTCGCACTCACAACTGTAAAATTACTTTTGCCCTACCTGTATTTGTTAGCTTTCTACAGTAAGGAAGAGATTTTCCATTTGTTAATTTATGTCAGTATGGACTGATGGGTTCATATTTAATTCAATAGGTTATAATCTGCTATTATCATAATCATTTTGGTGCCCAAATTGTTCCAAATGTGGCCACTGGAGGCCCCTCTCACTGGCCTCTGTGTCCTGTTGACACGTCCTCTTCACCTTTGATTAGTTCATTACTTATTTTTCACACCAAGATATTCAAGATTTCTGAGATAATAAAAGACATATAATGGCCGGTTTGGCGCAGCGGTTAGAGCGTCAGCCCGCAGACCAGAGAGTCCTGGGTTCGGTTCTCGCTAAGGGCACGTACCTCAGTTGCAGTTTGTCACTGGCCCCGATTGGGGTCGTGTGGGTGGCAGCCAGTCGATGTGTCTCTCTCACATTGATGTTTCTCTCTCTCTCCCTCTCTCTCTCCTGCTCTATCTGAAGATAAATGCAAAAAAAAAAAAAAAAATGTCCTCGGGTGAGGATTAAAAAAAAAAAAAAGACATGTAATGGTCTCTGCCCCAGTTCTTGGCACAGAGCTACTAGAACCCTTGCAACTTCCCAAGTGATAAGAGCACAAGAAACATCTTTTGTTTTCGACCTGGGCCAGGTCACCCCTCCTTAGGCAACCTGGTGGTCCCGCTCCGGGAGGTCACCGTAGTGATGCCGACCTTCGTGCGGGCCCTGTCGGCATAGAGCACCACAGCCCAGAGCTCCTGGGCCAGCGATGCTCCTGCCTCCGCCCCGGAGTAGCTGGGGCTGCAGGCCGCTCCACCGCGCGGGTACCGAAACATCTTCTGTTCTAATATTTGCTCTTTAACCCCGATCCTGACAAAGGGATCCTGAAGTTCTTGTGATTTCGTGGGTAATAGGAGTGTCTTTTGTTCTGAGGAGGTGGGCTCGTGGATGGACCTTAGAGGTGAGCAGGTGACCGGAAAGACCAAGCCGTATTAGAAGCTGGGAATTTCCAGCCTCCTGGCCCATTCTATTGAGAAGCAAAAGGAGTTGAAATGGAGTTTCCAGAAGTGTCAGAAGGGAAGTGTTTTGTACGAGCAGTAATGAAACAGGCAGGAGAAATACTCGTAAGAGGGAGAAACTGGCTGTTTGCCTGCTCGGAGGGAAGAACTGCAGCTTTATCTCACTTAGTGGGGCCCCTGGAGCAGCGGCCACAGCATCACCCGGGAACCTTAGGAACCCACATTCTCTGACCCCGAGGTACTGAATCAGAACTGCTGCGTGAACGAGCCCCCCACCTGATGGTGATGGGAGCTGAGTCAGGAAAGCGTTGCTCTAATTCCCTCTTGGGTCCGATGCGCACAGTAGGATCTCTCCTGGGAACACTGCCCACTTGCCCCGGGGGACAGAGCTCGGAGGTCCGCCTGGAGGTGGAGGCTGCCACACAGATGCGCTGTGTGGGTGCAGGAGCGGCAGAAGAGGGACCCCAAGCTGACTCCTAGACCAGCTGTTCCAGGCCTGAGGCCAGCTGCCCAGGGCGCTTCTGCTGCCCAGTGGAACCAGGGGGATCTTATTCCTCTACGCTCGGCTCAACCCACACTGGGAAGGAGTGTCCCTGGTTGGCTGACTCGGTGGCCCTGAGCCCCAACTGCCCTCCCCACAGCAGACATTGCTGATCAATTGCAGGCCCTGCGCATCCAGCACCAGGCCCACAATCCTCCGCGCAGGACCGCACAGCCGCGGCCGCTCCCTCGGGCTGCCCTGTGCACCGCCCAGTGTCTGCATCCGCGTCCTGCGCCTTCCTGGGACAGGGACCTCCTGGAGCCTGCCCGACAGAGACCCGGGGACACGGGCTGGAGCAGACCAGATCAGTTCTTTATTGGGAAGGGGATGCAGTTTGTGATCCGACAAATCTGTGACCCCAGGAAGATCTCCAGCTCAAGCCCCAGCCGGTTTGCTGCGAGCTCGTACCTGCCCTGGAAAACGCCGCTGGTGTGGCAGTTGTGCCAGCGCCAGTACATCTGGATGATGCGGGCGGCGTGCAGCAGGCGGCAGTAACGCTGGCGGACGCGCCACATCTGGGCGCAGGACTGCAGCCGGACCGCCGCCCACCGCTGCCGGGTGTAGGCCTCGAGCGCCGCCCGCCGCCGCTCCTCCAGCTGCCGCGCCTGCGCGCGCCTCCACCAGCGCTGCACCACCGAGGCCCTGAGCGCGGCGTGCAGCAGGGTCCGGCGCACCAGCGTGCCGCGCCACCAGGCCTGGATCGCGACGGCTTTTCCGCTCTTCTCTGTCTTTGGGAGAGGGGTAGCAAGGGAAAAGGAAGGACACTCGGGAAACGTTTCCCACCCTCCTCAGCCCCAGGAGGTGCCAGGAAGGGGTCCTGATCTTGTATCAGCAATGGTCCCTTCCTCAGAAGTTCAGGGGCACTGGGCAGGGCACTGGCTGGAGCCAGAGGGCCAAACAGGTAGGTGCCCTGTCCCTGCCACTCTTGGTTGATGGACACAGGCCTTTCGCGTTGCCCTCTGAGTCTCGAGGGGCCTCGTCTGTACCAGGGCTCAGACCCGGAGGGAGGTCGGGAAGAGGAGAGCCAGGGCCCAGTCAGTCCCGATTTGTCCCCGCTCTGGACGGGACAGCCGCTCCTCTCATGGGCCTGGGGCAGCCTCGGGTTATGATTTTGTTCCCAATGACTCAGGGCTTGTCTTTCACTCACAGATGTATCCTGGTTTGGATGACAAGTGCCATGATCATCCCATGCTATGGGCCTGGGAGGAGACAAGCTATGACTGCTGGGCGGCTTGGGTCAGAGGTGGAGCAGGTTGGGGTCACTGTCACCCTCAATATTGAGATCCTCCATAGACCTACCTTTGGTGTTGGAGGCCCTTTTTTCTTTTTACTTATTTTTTCCTTCTCTTCGACTTCAGTGGACTTCTGTGAGATTTCATTGGACTTTCCTTCCTCTTTCTAGAGTAAGAGGGGAAAGGTTAGGGTAGGTTGTTCTTTGTACAGCCCTGTGCCATGAACTCCACATACTCAGCCTTCTGCCTTGCCCAGAGACCCTAGATGTAGCACTCACATCCTGATTTAACTGTGGAATCCACCTTCCCTTGCCTGCAACTTTGGGTGGATTGATGATTCTCTCTTACACAACATCAAATAAATGCCCATCACTTGGAAATAAACGGTTCAAATCAGCCTTGAGCTGCAACTCCCTAAACTGTCCATAGTTAACAGCTATGTGGTCCCTTGCTCTCAGATCTGTACTCCTCCGTGAGCTCTTGCATGTTTGGTGGTTCATTCCTTTTTATCGCTCAGTTGTAGTCCATGGTATGGACTATAATTTCCACTTTTTTTGGCTATTTTGTACTATGAGATATTTATACAAATTTTAGTTTGAACATATGTTTTAAACTGCTAGGTTTACACCTAGGAAGGGAATTGCTGGGTTGTATGGTGGTATATACCGCGCTGTTTGAGCGATCACCAAACTGTTCCACAACAGCTACTCAATCTGACATTCCTACCAGTAACGTGCGAGACATCCCGTTTCTTCCGTCGGTGCTGTCTGCTACGTTACGTGTATTGCTGTTCTGCAGAGATGATGCCACCAGTGTTTGCTGATGGATGATGTGGAAGGGACTGGATCTATGTTTGGGTGGTTGGTTAAACAACAAAAGCTGACATCGAAAATCACCAACTAACTTGCCTCCTTCATTGGGTAATTCCCAGGGGACAGAGAATTGCCCATTGGATAAGGCAAGTTAGTTGGTGGTTTTAGATAGTATGAGTTTTTATTGTTAACTAACCACCCCAAACATAGAGGCTTACAACAGCCACCATTTGTTGACTTCACAGTTCTGTGACAATTTGGGCAAGGCTCATCTGGGTGGCTATTCTGTCGTTAGGCCCACTCATCTATATGGTCAGCTGACAGTGAGCCGGAAGCCCGTGGTGGAGGGTGGTCTCCTCAGAGGGGGCTCATCTCTGCCCCATGTAGTCTTCCATGCTACAAACAGGGGTCTCCTTGTCTACACTGTGGATGGCTGTGCAAGACCCCTTAAAGCCTCGGCTTGCGACTCACGAGATCACTTCCACTGCATACGATTGGCCAAAGAAAGTCACGGGACGCCCAGATACCAGTGGAGTTATGTAGTCTCTATTTCTTGATTGAAGGAGCTACAGGGTCATATTGCAAAGGGGCATGGATACAAGAAGGAAAGTAATTTTGGTCATTTTTAAATTTATTTATTTATTTTATTTGTTGATTTTAGAGAGAGAGGAAGGGAGAGGGAGAGAGAGAGACATTGATGAGAGAGAACATTGATTGGCCGCCTCCTGCATGCCCCCCACTGGGGATTTGGCCCACAACCTGGACATATGTCCTGACCGGGAATCGAACTGGTGAACCTCTTGGTGCTGGGTCGATGCTCAACCACTGAGCCACACTGGCCAGGCTTTAGTCATTTTTCTAAACAATCTCTCTCAGTCCCCTTGACTGGTACAGTTTCTGGGGTGGCGGTGAGGGGAGCCCCCTGGAGTGAGTTTAGGAGAGAGAGAGAGGGGAGGAAGCGAGACAGTGACGTGTTCCGGTGTGAGGAGATGCAGAGAACCAGAACAGGAGGTAGACAAGGATGGGTTTTTAATGATGGGGATGCTTTGTATGTCGGTGGGAATGATTTGGTGAAAAGGTAGAAACTGATTTAGGGAAGCAAATGCAATTGTAGGGCGATGTCATTGCAAAGTCAAGAGGTGACAGTAGGCAAAAGAAAAAGAAGAGACAAGTAGAGGGTGTGGCCTCGGGGGGTAAAGACAACTCATTTCGATTCGAGGAAGACAGCAAGTGTGGTTGAGATGATGCTGAGATGGGGGATGAGATGGTAAGATGGGGGTCCAGGCTGCTGCCCCTTCCTCATTTAGTGTTTGGTGACATCATCACCTAAGCCCAAGAGGAAAAGAAGAGTTGCCCACTTGAAGAGAGAAGAAAGAATGTAAGCCCTGGTCAGTGTTGCTCAGTGGTTAGAGTGTTGGCCCGAGCACTGAAGGGTTGTGGGTTCAATTCCCGGTCAAGGGCATGTACCTGAGTTGCAGGTTCAATCCCTGGCCCCCAGCTGGGGAGCATGCTGGAGGTAACCAACCGATGTGTCTCTCTCACATCAATGTTTCTCTTTCTCTCTCCTCCTCTTCTACTCTCTCTAAAAATCAATGGAAAAAATATCCTTGGGTGAGGATTTAAAAAAAAAGAATGTGAAATCTTCAGGTCAAAAAGCAAACTTACAGAGAAGAATATAAACTGAAACCACACAATCTGGTGATTTGGTTTTGTTCGGGCAAGTTTAGCTCTTCTGGTGTTTTATTTATGATTTTTTAATCCTCACCTGAGTATATATTTTTACTGATTTTAGAGAGGGGAGGAGAGAGAGCAATATTGATGTATGGAGAAACATCGATCGGTTGCCTCCTGTATGCACTCCCACTGGGGACAGAACTCAAAAGCTGGGTAGGTGCTCTGACCAGGAATCGAACGCGTAAACTTGTGGTGTATAGGACGACTCTCCAACCAACTGGGCCACACTGGCCAGGGTAGCCCTTCTGGTGTTGACAAAGCAGGTGAAGGCGGAGAGAAGGCCAGTGGTGGTAAAATGATAAGAGAATGCTCAACAGACTGGATCTGAGCTGGGCTAAGGGATGAGAACGTGATGGCATGACGGGCAGTACAACACCGTGAGGGCAATTTCTAGGAAGTCTTAACTGTGGCTCTAACTCAGGGGTTGACGAGTGTCTTTATGAAGGGCCAGGTATTCTCTTAAGCTTGATGTTCATTCAGTCCCTGTCACCACTACTCAACAGGATAAGAAGGCAAAAGTCAGAGACCAGCTCGGCCTGTGTGGCTCAGTGGATTGAGTGTCACCCCATGGACTCGGAGGTCTCAATTTGATTCCGGGTTGAGGCAGTCTCGGTCCCCAGTAGGGGGCATGCAGGAGGCGGCCAGTTGATGTTTTCTGTCATTGATGTTTCTGTCTCTCTCTCTCCCTCCCTTCTTCTCTCTCTCTAAAATCAATAAAGAAGACAATAAAAATAGAAATGGTCCTTCCCCACAGACAGCTTGGGAAACAGTGGCGTGTAGTGCGATCACAGGAGCGGTCTCTAAGGTAGGACGGAAGTCAAGATCGCCAGAGGGCAGAGACAAGGGGGCATCACCCAGTCCACGCTGAAGTCACTCAGAATGGTGTCACACCAGGGTGGAGGTGATATCAGTGGGAGCCCTATTTGTGCTCAGCACCCTGAAGAGTCTGGCCCTCAGCGGGGAGGATGGAGGCACAGCTGATGTTGCCTACAAAGCTGACATCTGCTACTTCCCAAAGGAAAGAGCATCCACGTTAGCAAGACGCTCGAGAAGCCCGGTGCCCAGCCTGCACCCAGGCCAGCCTCCTGCCCGTTCTCTGGGCTGTGCTGCTCCCAGGAGGGCCAGCCCCCTGCCTGACCTCTGTCTGAGAACAGTCTCAGGTGGCCACATAAAAAGCTAATGGGTGCAAGCCCTGGCTGGCCCGATGGCAGGCCGACCCAGTGTGACTACAGGGACAACTCTCATAGGAGGAGGTGCCCAGAGTCTTCGGGCTTATATAGCCCAACCCCTCCCAGTAGCAAGTTCAGGAGACAAGGCAGTGCCAGGTCTATGGAATGGGACACCTGGCTCTGCTTAAATGAGGACCGTCTCAGGTGGCAGTTTCTGATTTGTAGAGTCAGTGGCCTACGGTCACTCTCACTCCAGAACTGGTGCCACAGGCACTGAGGGGCGGGGCACAGGGGACAGGGACCTTGGATTGAAATGAAGTCTCTCCCCAAGTCCAAGCGAAGGGGCGGGGCCTGAATCTCCGGATCCCCGTGGAGTGGGAGTCACTGAGACACAGCAAGCCTGGTCAGATGTTTATTGAGGCGGCAGATCCCCTCTCCAGTATTAGGCTGATAGACTCTCAGCGCGGAAGGCCAGCTCTTTGTCGGCGCCTGCGCACCGCCCCTGGGGAGCGTCACTGGTCTGGACGCGGGAGCAGCTCTCTGGGGCCTGGGGAGGCAGACGGCGCTGCACTTTTGGTAGCGACATTAACAGCACTGACACCCGCGAAGCCAGGACTGGAGCCTGCCCGCCGCCGGCTCCTGGATTACGCGGGTCTTCAGCACAGCCTGCGCCTCCAAAGCAGTGGCCTCCAGCAGAGGACCCTGCGGGTCCTGAACACCCAGGCCTGGAGGGCGGCCACCAGCAGGGTCGCCCGCACTAGGGTGCCACGCCGCCAGGCCTGGGTCTTGTCAGCTGCCTTGACTCTCGCTCTCGGGTATTGATTTGCAAGAAGCTCCTACCCAAGCAAAGCAGAGGCTCCAGGAAATGTGTCACCCTCCACCACAGCTCAGCACTCTGACCTCTCTTGGCCATCAGCCTTTGTCCTGCTTGGTTCTGAGGGCCTAGGAGACCTGGGTGGGGCTTTGCCTCTACTTCTGTCTTGTGTGTGGCCGTGGCCACACCTGCGCGTGCTCTGAGTCACTGTGTCCTCATCCGTCAAGCGGGGATATACTTGCGCTGTGGTCTTCATGGCTTCACGGGACCAGTGGAAACACTTTCTGGCCCAGGAGGCCCGGCATGGATGTGAGGAACCAAAGGGTCCTCGTGAGGCCAAAGCTCTGCCTGTACGACCTCCCGACACCTCACACCTGCTGCAGCCCCGTGGGGGTCTCCCCCTCACCTCATTTCTTTCGACTTCCACTACTGCCTCCCAGTCACCCCACATCCCTCTGGGACCACGCCTCCCTTTCCCTGGCTTCCCAGGTCCCGCTGCTCTGTGCTCACCTCCGCGGCGGGCCGTCTGCATGCCCATCGCCCACGGTCTCTCCCTACTTAGCACAGGTCACTCAGAACAGGGAGGGGACTTATGGGGACAGAAGAGCAACACTGAGCTGATTGCAGTGGGACCTGCACGAGGTCCTCTGCTTCCAGGGACTCTGGGTTCCGAGGGTCCGTGATTTGTGATTCTCTCGTGCTCCTGGGCCCCACCTACCTCCTGCTTCACTTTCTCTGTTTCCTCCTTTTTTGGGTCAGGCTTCTGTAATCAGAACGCAGAGAGAAAGCTTGAGTGAGGGCCCCAGCAGGGTCTGGCTCCTCATGCTTTGCCCTTTCAAGCCACCCGAGGCTCCCCTCAGCCGTGGCCAGCTCCCCACCCCTGGGGAGGGCTGTCTGCCTGCGGCTTACACAAAACATTTTGCCCATAACTTGAGGGCGGTGGTTTAGATGTTCACACCCCTCTGGTTACTGCTCCATGGGTGCTGCCGTGGCAGGAAGGGTGATATAGGAGGGAGAGCAATGATGTCACAAGGGCACCTGTGACCCAAGGACCAGGTTGCCTTCTCCAGGCTCAAAGTTGTTAGAGAGGAAACACCTGTGCATTGCCCTCCTGCTGGGGATGGACCAGGGTCTGCGATGGAACCACAGCCCCTGTGTCTGTCCTTCCCCAGGACGACCTCTGGTCTGGCCCACCCACAGGACCACTTGTTCAGCCACCGAGGGGAGCAGCTCACAGTGCAGAGGGCGGAGCGTGGGCTTGCCCCCCACCGTGGTGTCCTTCCTTAGCAGGTGGAAATGTCCTCCTTTTATTGGGGATCAGTGTGAGTAGGGAGGGGGAGCAGAAGGAGCCGAGGAAGTGTGGAGATGGAGCGTCCTCAGCCCATTCCTACCCCCTCCCGCCGCTGTCACCCCCAGTTCCGGAGCTGTTGGCTGGCGCTTAGCAAGCCAAAGTGTGTTCCTTAAAACAGCGAGCCCTTCCATCCTGTATCCGAAACTCAGGAAGCTGGAGTGATTTCCCAAACAGGAGTCATTATGTGGGAGACCGTGCTGCCCCGCTGTAGGCTCCTCTGGTGATGGCAGAAGTCATAGCTCAGAGGTTCCATTAGCTATTCAGGCCGCTTCCAAAGCCGCTGTCTCCGCTTCCCAGCACCTTCCCAGCGGGCTGCTCTTACCGGACCCTGGACAGCTCCCTCCAGATGTCTGCAACAGCTGGCCAGCCTCTTCCTTTCCAGGCCTTATCTGCGTCCCTCCAAGGGAGACAAGGATTTCGCTTCCTGCCACACCCCGAACAACCCACGGTCTCTCCCCTCATCTTCCCACTGTGGCTTTTTGCCATGTGGGGCCCACGTGCTTCCGCTCCAGCGCCGGTGAGCGCGCCTGCCAGGCCCCGGGCACCGCTTCCCTGTCCTCCGGGCGGCTCATTCCTAGGACGGCACTGATGACCTACCTGGACGCACGACCCAGCAGAGCCTGCTTTCTCTTCTCCACAGACGGATTCATCTCTGTCCCCCGAGTCGTCATTGTCTAGGCAGGTCGTGCTTGGAGGAGCCCTGCCCCCCCTGGCCTGTCCTTGAGCAGCGCAGGAGGGGTTGGTTAGGGACCTGGAGCGCCTTGCCTTCGTGCCACTAGATCCTGACAGGTTGCTCTCCACAGTGGTGGCATCAGTCCGCCCTGTCATTTCTGCTGAACTGGAGTAGGTGGAGTGGTGTCGCCTGGCTGGGTAGACTTGCATTTCTGTGACTAGGGACGCGAGCAGACTGGGACTCCTGAGGGCGAGGCCCCGGGCTGTCCTCTTTCTGGCTGTGTGAACCGGGCGAGTCTTTCAGCCTCTGTGCGTCTATTTCCCCGGGCGAAGTCAGGATAGCTGCGTCCTCCCTCCTGCGTGGAGCTGGCTTGGGGATCCGTGCAGGTGAAGTCCTGGGAGAGGTACCTGGTCCCACGCTGTCCTGGGCCCTTTAGCTCCCAGGATGACTGCATCTTGGCCCTTTGGTAATTGCCCGATCCTGTCCTTGGCCGAATCGTTCCCTTGTAGGCCTTCTCACAGAATCCTTTGCTCGATAAAAAGGTTGCAGACATCCTTCCCAGACTGCCATCTGCCTGTTACCTTTTTTATTTATTTCTTTATTGATTTTAGAGAGAGAGGAAGGGAGAGGGAGAGACAGAAAGAGAGAGAACATCAATCAGCCACCTCCTGCAGGCCCCCACCTGGGGACTTGGCCCACAACCTGGGCATGTGTCCTGACCGGGAATGGAACCAGCGACCTCTTGGGGCACGGGTCGATGCTCAACCACTGAGCCACACCGGCCGGGCGCTTGTGACCTTTTTTTGTGGGGTCTCATCACACAGATATCTGTCCATCCATTTCTCCCTTTATAATCGGGCTTAAGCGTTTTGAACGAGCACTGTCCCCTCCAGGGTCACATGTTTGTTTCCCACTGATGTCTTCACCAAGTGACAGGACCATGGCCCTGCGTGCTCTGTCCCCCTCCTTGTTGGAAATAGTCCTTTGTTTGACAGAGCACCTTCTGAGGCAGTTTTCTAAGGAAAGAAAAGGTTCATGGATGCAACTTTGTAGACTTGCAAATTGACCCTTGAGTCTGATTGATAGTTTTGCTTAGTTTGGAATTCTAGATTAAAAATAATTTTTCGCTCTGGCTGGTTTTCTCAGTGGTTAAAGTGTCGGCCTCAGGCCAAAGGGTCTTGGGTTTGATTCCAGGTCAAGAGCACATATCTGAGTTGCAAGTTAAATCCCTGGCCCCGGTCGGGGTCGTGAGGGAGGCAACAGTCAGTGTGTGTCTCACATCCATGTCTCTCTCTCCCTTCCTCTCTCTCTAAAAGATCAATAAAAAAAGCATATTAAAAAACAGAAAAGAAAAACACCGCGTGAGGATTAACAATGACAAAAAATAATAAATTTTTCTTAGAATTTTGAGACTTCGTTCCACTTCCTTCTAGAAGTCTAATGCTACTCAGGTTCCTTTGCCCATGGATGTGGCCTGCTCTTTCCTCTCTGGGAGCTGTTAGGGTCTTCACGTTATCCCTGATTTCTGAAGTTATTGTCGATTTAGTAAGCGTGTGTGTAATGAGTGAATACGTGATTCTATCCGGGTCTTAGATGTGTGGCTTCCTTGTGGTTCAAATCCCACTCCCTGGAAAGAGCTGTCCCACCACCAGGAACAATTCTCTCCCTGATCCTCACCTGGAATCCACATGCTGTGTTCAGAGTTACCGAAAGGGCCGCCCCGCCCCCGCCCCCGCCCCCGCCCACCTTCTTTGTGTTGGGCATTTGCTTAGTCCTTTAGTTTAGAAATTCTTATCATCCAACTCTGGGAAACTTTGTTGTCTTAGTTTAAAAAAAAAAAAATTTCTACCCTTCAACATTCTCATTTTAATGATTATAGAAATCCTATTAGATCATAGATTGATCCTCTAATCTTCCAATATTTTCTACAACATTTTCTTTTTGTTTTGTTTTGTTGATCCTCACCCAAGGATGTTGTTTTCACTGTGTTTTAGAGAGAGTCAAAGGAGCCCTGACCGGTGTGGCTCCGTTGGTGGGAGCATCGTTCCATACGCTGAAAGGTTGTGGGTTTGATTCCTGGGTTGTGGTTCCATCCCCCCCCCCCTTGTTGGAGAGCACATAGGAGGTAACCAATCGCTGTTTCTCTCTCTCTCCACCCCCATTCCCCTCTCTCTAAAAAAAATATATATCAATAAACATATCCTTGAATGAGGAGTAGAGAAAGTGGAAGGAGGGGGAAAGAGAGAAACATCGACGTACAAGAGACATTGAATGGTTGTCTCCTGCACATGCCCCGATGGGGCTGGGGATCGAACCTGCAACCCAGGCACATATCCTTGATGGGAATCAAACCCGTGACCCTTTGTGTGCAGGCCAATGCTCTAACCTCTGAGCCACACTGGCCAGGACTGCTGAGTCATTTATTGGAATTGAGTTTAACTTATAGATTAACTTGGAGATAATTGAAGACCTTACAATGACGAGTGACTCTTAATGACTATATAGTATAGTTCTCCATCCATTCAGGTCTCCCTTTACCTCCTTGAAGCTGCGGACAGAGCAGCACCTGTCACTTTAAGAATATGCCCTTAGAGAGGGAGCATGACTTTCTCTTCCTTCCTCCTTTCTTGCTACTGAATTAGAAGCAGCCGTTTTGGATCATGCCATGACCTTGGGAATAGAGGCCATTATAGCGGGGTGCCAGGACACCTCACCATGGGAAGTGACAAGCCCCTCCAAGAAAACCTGCTTCTGAACTTTACTGGGAAAGAGAACTAAACCTCCAATTTGTTGAAACCACTGTTACTTTGCTTGTGCTATTGTTCCCAGCCCCACGTGGTTGAACTCTACACCAGTGGTTCCCAAAGTGGGGTTCCCTAAAGCAGCAGCCACAGAATCACCTGGAAACTTGTCAGAAATATACGTTCTCTGAATTACAATTCTCAAATTACACTCGGAGATACTGAATCAGAGCTGCCGGGTGAACGAGCCCCCCGCCTGATGGTGATGGGGGCCGGGTCTGGAAAGCGTTGCTCTAATTCCCTCTTAGGTCCGACGCCCGCATTGAGAACGTCGCCCACTTGCTCCGGGGGACAGAGCTCAGAGTCCTCCCGGAGGTGGCGGCTGCCACACAGGTGCGCTGCATCGGTGGAGGAGCCGCAGGACAGGGACCCGCAGCTCACTGGCTCCTAGACCAGCGGTTCCAGGTCTCGTGCTGGCTGCTCAGGGCGCTCCTGCTGCCTTGTGGAACCAGGGGGAGCTTATTCCTCTACACTCAGCTCACAGGTGAGCCATCCATGACGACCAGGCCCAGCCCTCTGGTTGGAGTGATTCATTAACCCACAGGGTTAGGGGGGTGCTCGTTCTTCTAGGCGCTGAACTGCCAGTAATCCCACCCTTGCCGGCAGGAATCCCCTCTGCACGCCTTCTACCAGTTTCTAACTTAAAGCCATTTAAAAAACAACTTCCTGAAAAGCAGCTCACGTACAATGTACTTTTACGTGTTTATTAATCTGTTGAGGTCTCCTACTCTTTGCTATCTGTCTGAACTGAGTTTAAGTTTATTGGCTCACAAAGCTAAGAATTCCCAGTCTAACTAGTGGCGGATTCAGGTATGGTTGGATCCAGGGGCCCAGAGGAATCCTTAGGACTTAGTCTCTCTCTTTCCATCTTATGGCTCAACTTTCCTCTGTGTTGGCTCTATGCTCAGCAAGATATTTTCTTTTTTTTTAATTGATTTTTATTTTTTTAATGTTTTTATTGACTTTTTAGAGAGAGAGAGAGATAGAACATCAATGAGAAACATCAATCGGCTGCCTCCTGCTCGCCCCCTCCTGGGATCGAGCCCACAACCAGGGCACGTGCTCTGACTGGGAATCCAACTGAGACCTCCAGTCCATGGGAAGATGCTCAATCCACTGAGCCACATCGGCAGGGCTTTAATTGATTTTGAGAAGGGGAGAGAGAGGGAGAGAGAAAGAGAGAGAGAGAGAGAGAGAGAGAGAGAGAGAGAGAGAGAGAGAGAGAGAGACATTGATGTGAGAGAAACATTGATGTGAGAGAAACATTGATCAGTTGCCTCCCACATGCACCCCAACTGGGGATTGAACCTACAACCTGGGCATGTGCTCTGACCGGGAATTGAACCCACCACCTTTTGGTGTACTGGATGGAACTCCAACCAAATGAGCCACACCGTCCAGGGCTCAGCAAAGATTTTCATGTGGTGTGCCAAGAAGCTCTGGTTTCGTGACCTGTTGAATGAGCAGTCCTTGCGGTTAACAAAAGGCCTCTCCATACAATGGGATACCCCAGAGCTATGAAAAGAAGTGAGGTGTGGAGGCATGCTACAATGTGCATGAGCCCTGAGAACATGTGCAAGGAACTAGACACAAAGTAGCTTGATTTCTTTTATGTGAAAAGCCCACGCCCAGCACCAGGCCCACAATCCTCCGCGGCCGCTCCCTCGGGCTGCCCTGTGCACGGCCCAGTGTCTGCATCAGCGTCCTGCTCCTTCCTGGGACAGGGACCTCCTGGAGCCTGCCCGACAGAGACCCGGGGACACGGGCTGGAGCAGACCAGATCAGTTCTTTATTGGGAAGGGGATGCAGTTTGTGATCCGACAAATCTGTGACCCCAGGAAGATCTCCAGTTCAAGCCCCAGCCGGTTTGCTGCGAGCTCGTACCTGCCCTGGAAAACGCCGCTGGTGTGGCAGTTGTGCCAGCGCCAGTACATCTGGATGATGCGGGCGGCGTGCAGCAGGCGGCAGTAACGCTGGCGGACGCGCCACATCTGGGCGCAGGACTGCAGCCGGACCGCTGCTCCTCCAGCTGCCGCGCCTGCGCGCGCCTCCACCAGCGCTGGACCACCGAGGCCTGCGCGCGGCCCGTGGGAGGGTTGGCTTCCTTGTCACACGCCCAGGTTGCAGGCTCAGCCCCCAGTAGGGGGAGTGCAGGAGGCAGCCGATGGAAGTTTCTCTCTCTGTCCCTTTCTCTCTCTCTCTAAAAGAAAACAAAACATTTTTTTAATAAATAAAATATATATATATATATATATATATATATATATATATATATATATTTAGCCTCACCCATTTTTGTACAGATAGAGTGGGAGGGAGGGAGAGAGAGAGAGAAACATCGATGTGAAAGGGACACATCGAGTGGCTGCCACCTGCACGACCAACCAGGGCCGGGGACAAACTGCAGCCGAGGTACGTGCCCTTAGTGGGAACCGAACCCGGGTCTCTCTGGACTGCAGGCCGACGCTCTAACCGCTGAGCCTAAGTGGCCAGGGCAAATAAAAAATATTTTGATCAGCTTTTCCAGTTCTTCTCACAAAAGGATTAATCCTAGTTCCACAGCACATCATTGTTAGCACTAAGAGTCTCTTCCCTGCTATATATACATTAAAAAATTTTTTTTTCCTTTTATTGATTTTAGAGAAAGAGGAAGTGAGAGGAAGAGAGAGAGAGAAACATTGATGAGAGGGAACAGCGATTGGCTGCCTCCCACATGCTCCCCACTGGGGATCTGGCCCACAACCCAGGCATGTGTCCTGACCAGGAATCGAACCAGCGACCTCTTGGTGCATGGGTCGATACCCAACCACTGAGCCACACCAGCCGGATTATTTACTTATTTTTAAAATTCTCACCTGAGGATATTATTCCATTTATCTTCAGATGGAATGTGAGGGAGAGAGAGAGAGACAGACATCAAGCGGCCGCCTCCCACTCGAACCAGGGCTGGGACCAAACAGCAACCGAGGTACGTGCCCCTGACCAGAATCAAACCCGTGACTCTTTGGTCAATGGGCCGACGCTCTAACTGCTGAACGAACCCAGCCAGGGCTGTATTTTTAATAGATGAAACTCCAAATTGACACTTATTATGGTTTCTAATATGCCTGGACTTACTGCCATACTGCTTCGTGGTTTCCATCTCTCAGCTTTCTAAACAAGGTTTTCTATGTCTTTGCTGGATTGGTTCAGTTATCTTTGTCATCTTATTCCTTTTACTATTTTAGAAGTTGAGACAGGCTACTAGTTTCCTAGCCAATAACCACTGTCCTCATTTTCTTAACAGAACCACGATACTTTGGGGTAGCAGCAGGACCAGATTAAGGAGGAGGGCGGGAAAGAGGACCTCATCAGCCTCCCTGGGAGTTAGGGGAGATCATGTGACACCCCCTGGCCAATGAGATGTCAGCAGTGCAAGGGTTAGTAATGTTTTAAAGGGTAAAGGTAAAAGTTTGCAAAAGGCGGAAACTGGACATTGTGTTGCCTGCATGACCTTGACTCAGCCTTTTGTTGAGTATGATAAGGTTTATCTGGCTTGTCCCGGAGGCAATGGATAACCCAGCAGATGCCAGACAAGAGACCAGACCAGCCCTACTGCAAGGTGGACAATGGGCCGGATAAAGTACATTAGCAGAACTGCCGGAAGCTAAAAGGAGGGTATATAACCAACACCCCAACCCTAATTCGAGGCTGAACCCTTCTCGGGTCAGCCCACCTGCACCCAGGTGCATGCAATAAAGCTATTTTGCTCTACATTGCCCTTGTGTTGTGGATGTGATCTCCTGCTGGCTCGGACCTCAGACCTTTTTTTTTTTTTATCCTCACCTGAGGACATTTTTCCATTTTTTGTTCAGATAGAGTGGGAGGGAGAGAGAGGAAGAGAGAGAGAGAGAGAGAGAGAGAGAGAGAGAGAGAGAGAGAGAAACACCGACATCGAGTGGCTGCCTCCTGCACAACCCAACCAGGGCCAGGGACAAACTGCAACCGAGGTACGTGCCCTTAGTGGGAACCGAACCCAGGTGTCTCTGGACCGCAGGCTGACGCTCTAACTGCTGAGCCAAACCAGCCAGGGCCGCCTCAGACCTTTTCATCAGAAGTCATTAGGTGAGGCCCCCCCCCCCCCCGCCGCCCCGGGAAAGCTTGTAAGGAGGCTACTTAGGCTAGGATGGTCGTCTTCTTGCCCTTTGCTGTTACTCTTCCTTTCCTGAAATGCACACGAGGGCTGGCACTCTGGCAGCCATATTGAGGGTGTGGGACGGGGATCCAATCATGAGCATGGGGAAGTACAGTGATAGAAGAAGAGTGACTACCAGCCAGGGGATGTCCACATCTAGGCTCTTTCTATGTGAGGTGAGAATAGTCTAATCTGTTTGAGCCATGTTACCTAGGTTTCTATTAGAACAACCCAATACAACCCCTAACTGATACAAAGTGATACATTTTTATTCTCATTTTTCAAATGCACTTCAATAGTAATATTTATTTTATTTTATAATTTGCTATTCACATCTGGAGCAAATCATAATCTGTTGTCGCCCAAATCGGGTGAGGACAAGAACCTTACCCCACCTCTGAGTCCTCCGTTCACTCCCTCAGTCTCACCTGTTATCATCTTGAGGATTGTTTCCCAACTGAAAAATATATGGTCAAGTTGTTTAGACTTCAGAGTTAATTTTACCGCCCTGGCCTGTGCGGCTTCATGGTTAGAATGGACTCGCAGGTTTGATTCCCGGTCAAGGGCATGTACCTGGGTTGCAGGTTTGATCCCCAGCCCCAGTCGGGGTGTGTGGGAGGCAACCAAGTGATGTGTCTCTCTCACGTCTATGTTTCTCTCCCCCCCCCCCCCAAAAAACCAATGGAAAAAAGATCCTCCGGTGAGGATTAACGAGCAAACAATAAATTAATCTTACCAGCTTCTCTGCTCGCCGCTCCTGGTCATCGGTGCCTGGTGCCCTTTCTCTGTGGAGTTAGTGCCCAGGAAACACGTCTGGTCAGTATAGCAAACTTTCTGGATCTTTACAGATATAAAGTGGCCTTTCATTTGCCATTTGGCTTTAGCAATACTTTAAGTAAGTTTATAACCCTGTGTTTAAAATGTTGTTTCTTCAGAAAGTTGGGGATGTTTCTCTCCTCTCTCCTTGCACTGGGCATTGTTGCGACAATGGATTCACTCCTTGGGAGGGAAACTCCTTGGTAGGTGCTGTTTCCTCTGTAAATATTTGTCACCACCAGTTGAGATGGTGTCATAACATATTGGGGTTGCACCTGTTTTTAATCATCTCGGTGCAGTTGGTTGACTGTCTTAAACTGTGATTCTTTCGAAAGAATCTCTTTTAAGATTCTCATTAACAGTTGGAAATGGTCTCATTGCTGCTTTTAGTTCGGAAAGAGTCTGGCTCAGTAGATTCTTCCTGACGTGCCGGTGCCGTCCTAGAAGCTCTCCCACCTCCTGACCCCTGACCCCCCTTAGGAGTGGCCGAGTCACTGTCAGACTCTCTAAGGCGAGTCACTGTCAGACTCTCTAAGGCAGTGGCTTCCGACAAGGCCACTGGGAAACTCCCTTTGGATGCAGAGTCTTGGGGGAACCCAGCCCTGCTCTTGCCCTTGACCCAGGTCCTCCCTCACTGGGGAAGGTCTCAGCCCTTCTCTCCAGGAATTTCACATCTCTGTGGCAAATCTCTCCCTCCCTTCCTCTGCTTCTGCCACCCCAGCCTCCTTGATGTCCTCAGGAGACATTCCTGCTTCCGGTGTGACACTCACTGGTTTGTTCCCCAGGTGGCTGTATGGCTTCCCTCTCCCTCTTTGACCTCTGTGACACCCTCTCTGACCCGCCGTACAGTCAGACCTCCTCTGCACCCCGCACGCTCTGTCTTCCCTGCTTATTTGGTCCATAACAAACATTACCATCCGTACCTCCCTAAATAGCTGCGCCAGAAGGGCGGGAATCATGCCTGCTTTTCCCTGCTGATCAGCAGCCCCATGACATTGTGTAGCACCGAGTGGGTGCTCAGTAAATAAGTGTTGAGTGAATAAATTTGGTGTAAGCCGATTAAATAAATCCCACTGAGCCCGGGCCACTTAGTCCCAGGTCACAGACTAGTGCCTTCCCCTGGCCACAGGGCCTGGTCATGGGTTCCAAGCAGCAATAAGCTGAGAACTTTTGTTCAGAGGTTCATTCATCCAAAAATTACTGAACCCCTATGATGTGCCAGGTACTATTACAGGCATTTGTTAAAGACTAAGACAGGCAAAGTCCCTATGTGCAAGGAGGTCACATTTCAGTAAGGGAGACAAACCCACATAGATGTGCTGTCCGTGGACTGGGACAGATGGCCATCCGTGTTTCTGTGCACCAGCAAAGGTCTTTATGGATCACACGGTCTGATTTCAGCAGTGTTAACCCTCACCTGCTTGGGTAACCAGGTAAAAAGGTTCCTGCAAAAAGCCCTGGACTGGTCTCAGCCAGGTAACTCGGTTAGTTAGAGCGTGGTCCTGATACGCCAAAATTGAGGGTTCAATCCCCAGTCAGGGCACATACAAAAACCAACCAATGAATGCATAAATAAGTGGAACAACAAATTGATGTTTGTTTTCTCTCTCTCTCTCTGAAAAAACAAATAGCCCTGACCGGTTTGGCTCAGCAGTTAGAATGTCAGCCCACAGACCAAAGAGTCTCAGGTTCGATTTTGGTCAAGGGCACGTACCTTGGTTGTGGTTCAGTCCCTGGCCCTGGTCGGGGTCGTGCAGGAGGCAACCAATCGATGTCTCTCTCTCTCTCTCTCTCTCTCTCTCCCTCCCTCCCACTCTATCTGAAGATAAATGGGAAAACATTCTCAGATGAGGATTGAAAGAAAGGCAGTACCTTCCGATTTGTTTGTAGAAGAGCTGACTGTCATTAGGGAATATGAAAAATTTTAGCCAGATTTGAATAAGAACCTTCGCACGATGGGCGGATAGGACTGGTAAGCGAGTTTCCTGAATTAGGAGGCAG